GCACCAGGTGCGCTAATGCCTGAGGAAACATCTTTGAGCTATTAAGTCACAAAGGACCTTCAGAGGGAGAGATACAATCGGCACACAAATCAGTGATTCTTTTAGAGAACAATCACCTGAGTTGAATGTATACGAGTCACGAGGTTAGGCCTTTGCCTACGTGCAGGAATGTATGAGCTAATGGGTTAAAATCATATAAAAGAACCGCCTGAAATAAACTCGAGGTCCACTCTTGACCTAGCGTCTTGCGGGCTAGAGTGAGACCCTCTCAACCCCACCTTTTAGTCTTGTCTTGCTGTCTTTTTGTTACGTCTTTCCTTTTCTCAGTCCTGCAGCACAGGTTTCTGGACCTGATCGATTGTCGGCTGGCTCCGACAACCTTCCACTCCACAAGTTGATGAAAAGTCATCTTTCTGAATGTTTAAAAGACATCATGGATTGCGTGAAAATCCCGCTTCACATTTCTATTTAGAATGTTTAGAGAAACATTTTTCTTTTAAAAATATTTTCGGGGGAGGGTATAGCTCAATTGGTAGAGTGCTTGCTTAGCGTGCATGAGGTCCCGGGTTCAATCCCCATTATCTCCATTAAAAAATAAATAAACCTAATCACTTTCCCCACAAAAACAACAAACAAACAAAATAAAAAAATATTTTCAGATCATGTTTTAAGAGCAGTCTATGACCAATGGTAGCAATTAAGAGAATAAAGGAGAAGGAAACTATTCTAAAGGGTATTAATCAGTGTCTAGACCTACTTACTGTCAGAGAGAAAGGAAGAGGGCAGGGAGATTTTTCAGATGGAAAACATGGGTGAAGGTGCCAGTGGAAAGAGTATTTGGAAAGATGCTCCAAGAGTTTTCACAGAGGATGGCAGAAGCTGAAGTGGAGTAAACCATTTTGGGTTTTTAGAGAGAACTGGGGTGGAAGAATCGGAAAACAGGCAAATGGATCATTTCCCCAAATAAATCTCAAGGAGACATATCACAGACTTCATCCTAAGCAACAGAACCAGAAAAAAAGAGTTTATAAAGAGTATAATTTAAATTTAAGTTAGATAATGTAGAAGGAATGTTTTCATACAACCCAAACCTTCTCAGTTCTAGTTACATAATTAAACAATTTTGCCTCCAATCCCACTTAAATAATTGTATGTCTATAACAGAGCCCAGTAAGTATGAGCTGTATTTACCACATTGTTTTCCTTCCCCAAAATCCCAAAATTTCTAAAATGCAATTATTCTTAGAAGTAATAAGTTTGAGTACCTTGAAGTTCAAGACAAAAGCTATCGCAGACTACGCTTAGGAGGAGGAAGTTTTTGTACCTTACTCTATGAGGATGGGCGTGGGGGGATGTGTGTGTGTGTAATTTTCCCTAAGAAAAAAATACATGGTAAGCGTGGACTCCATCATTAATAATCCTGTCCATAATTTCCAGAGATGTCCACTTAACCAGGATGAAACAATGCGAGAAAAATGCACCTTAGCACACAAGGCTTTCAAAAAGAAAAGTTCTATCAGGTTGTGCGAGCTTGATTTGAATCCTCATTCATTTGGGGCTTTCCTGTGAGCTTGGTTTTATCAGTTTTTTTTTAGAGATCAACTTTTAAAATGTTGTTTGTTCCTCTTCTAGAGAATTAGATCAATGATGCATCTAGTGAGAGAGACTGCCCCAAATAAAAAGAGGCAATAAAGCAGTCATTTGAAGCTTCTCCATCTGTAAGTACAAGGAGAGGGAGAGGACCGGTATAGAAGCCTGGGGAGCCACTGAAACTGGACCCCAGTCACACAGAGCAGCAGTTGGGAGAAGGTGATGATTTCAGGGTCTAGACCCCAACCCAAAGGTGGGAGTCACAGGTCTACAACAGTGATGACCAGTACCTTATCCCCACTAGGGGATCATCCCTGACTGGTAAGAACCTTGAGAAATGAGTCCCTGCACACTGAAATTAATGAGGTTATAGCAAGTATCCGGGATGTGAAGCCCGATCAGTGCTAAGATGGGACAGACTTCTGAAGGTCATTTTTTCTGACTTAAGGAAGGACATTCTTTTGCAAATTTAGACTTCAGAGGGAACAGGGAAATGGGGAAGGATTTAAGATTACTTCACAGTACACGACACATTCAAGACAGGCATATAGCATTTGAACGGTTTGCAAGGAGTTTCTAAGTTTGTTGTTTTGGATAAATACCACAGTATTTGCTAGATCACTTGTAAGTCAAGATCCCAGCTCCTCAGCTTTCATTACTGGATGTTACTGCATCTTGAAAGTAAGAGTACAGACAACCAACGATTTCTGGCTTGTTTGCCTTAAAAATCAGCACAGGTAGTTTAAAATTGGCCATGGTGTGAGTCTTTGCACGACAGAAATTGGAAAACTGTACAAATCGGGGCCTCCCCACCCTCCAGGCAAGTTGTTAAAAATTTGCCGGCAGACCACTGGGTGGGGGTGGGCACGTGTGTGGGGACGGGTAAGTTTCCCTAAGAGGAAACACATGACAAGCATGGACTTGGTGGGTGGGCCAGGGGCAGCTGACTGCTCCGGAGCAGCTGTTAGATTGTTGCTACACCTGGAGAGCACAAGTGCCAACGGAAAGCACAGAAATCCAGCTCTCATTCAAGATGTAAGTGAATGGACTTATTCTCCTGGACACCTGACTCTTTAGGAATCTGCTCAGCTAGTCCAGCTGAAAAGTAACTCGAAGACACAAAGCACGCTGTGTGAGAACCAGAGGCTGAAGAACCCAAGCAGACAGGGTTTTTCCATTAAGCATCAGACTTGCATTCAGCCTAACCCCAACATGGTCCCAACAAATGCACTATTACAGTCTGATCTCTTTCACAATAATTCACTTCTGAATATGTGAACACTAATGCACTTAATAGGCCTTGCACTCAGGTTGAAATAGCTCATGAGTTGTCCCTCATTTCCCAGTGACTCCTGAGATCTCTCCAACTCGGCTGGAAGCATCAGTGGGAACACAGCTTCAACCCCCATTGTCTCCAGAAGCTCTTTCAAGCTTTAAGAAGCACCCGTTTCCGATGACATGCAGCTCAGGTTAGCATACCTTTAATATCCGAGTGATTTGAAAGTTGTTGGAGAACTAGAAGATGAAAGAAGAGAAGGCCTTCAGTACAAGCGAACGTTCTGACCGGCAGGGGCTGGGGGCTATCACTGCTTTACCTTCCGCGGTGAGGTTAAATTCAGCAGTCACTTTCCCGTAACTGTTCTTAATGCAGCAATAATAGAGGCCCTGGTCCTTCTGACCCGCTTGAAGGATGGCCAAGGACACAGCGGAGTTGTCTCCTGCACTGCAGTGGGAGACACAAGCATGGGTGTCATCATTCCGAAGTTGCCATTTTTCTTAGAAACTAGCACTTCCCACCCTGGTGATGTCGGCCCACGGGCGGGCTAGAGGACACGGCTGCGATCGGCTGTTCCAATAACTTATCTGCAGGGGGTGGATCAGCACAGGTTTGGCTTAACATCCTGTCTCCAATATACAGAACTGATCCACGGAACCATTTGGGAGGTTTGACTGCCATTTGTGGAGCAAAGAACTGGAAGTGTGAATTCTAGGGGCCATCATTAACATTTCTGCTCAGAATTCACCTCAATTATGTTACCAAAGCCAGGTGTCCTGTGCTTGAAGGAAACCAGAGAATTCCAAACCCAAATCTAAATACAGACACAGTAAGAGACATGAGAAAGGGGGTCCTGGCTGTATACAAGGGCTCACAGCTGACAGCTCTTTTCAATAGCATGTTGCCCTCACAGATACCATCCATCCATCCATCCATCTGCCCACCCAACATTAAGTTCCAAGCACTGTGCTATAAAGTAGAACAATGGGTGGTGGTGATGACAATAATGAAGATGATGAAAACTGATGTGTATGTATTGAGCACTTGGTATGTGGCAGGCATCGTGTTAATCACTTAAAAGTTCTCTCCCATGTCATTCTTGGAGCAATCTAATGAGAAGCACTATTACTATTTCCAGTTCACGGAAGAGGAAACAGACCTTGCGAGATTAAGCAAATGGCCTAAGGGGACACAGCTGATTAGGGGAGACTCAGGTCTTAGACCAAGATCGCCTGACTCTGGAACCCTCATCCTGACCCCGTTAAGCTGCCTCCCCAAGTGATTCGTGCCTCCTGCCCTCACATCTGAGATAATTGGAATTAAGAGTTAAAGCCACAGTCTTTACTCCAAAGTCTCAAACAGAAGATTTACTTTGCAGCCAATACTCAAATGTCATTCTAGTTTTGCTCTAAGTAATGAGTTGTTAAATGTTCTCTGAGGTTGTGTGTGCTCAGCGTATGTTTCAGGTTTGGTTCATTTCTCAATTCAACCAAAAAAATCCATGTGGTGTGTTCATCTCATTGCATATTTAACAGAAGTGTTCATTACTGGTTAGCTTTTCAATAGACTTCAAGTCTCTAAATTACACATGCCTCTTCTGGAATGTACCAGTGGCTTAAAACAAAACTCACTAAATCATAATACTTTCTCTGTTGACGGGGCCTCTGAGCACATCCTGAGTGTATGGTTGAAAGTGGATGTGAACAAGCCCCGTTATAAGGGGATGATTTCCTGGATGGGCTGTCAAACAGAGCGGGTCACAAGAAGGGCCGATGTAATGTCCTTTCCTAGTGCCTGCTGGTCAACACAGTAATTCTGTCCCTGAAAGGGGCAGTCGAGATTGGCCAGAAAGGCTGGCAGCTGACCTAGAATTGTCCCAAGACAAGTTCCCTCCAGCCCTGAAACCCTGATGCTTGGCACACAACCTTGGAGGCCTTTTTTCTGTCTTGGCCTATTAACTCCACCCACGGCCTTCCAGGAGGGATCGCTAAGGAGTCAGAAAGACCTGGATTCAGATCCTGAGCTGAGCTCGGCAAGTTCCCCGCTCTCTCTCACCCTCAGTTTCCTTGTCTGGGCAGGAGGAAAGAGCAAGATTGCCTCCTAGACGTGTGGTGAGGAGGAAATGACCCCAGGCACGTGAAGCCTGACACAAGGGTCTAGTCTGGGGAGCGGTCATGAGCCATCAGTGTCAGTCAGCTGGTGCATGCCCAGTACTAGGGGATTTGGTGATGGAAAAGAGGCAGTTTCTGCCCTTGAGGGTCTTCCAGCCTGGGAGGAGATGGACAAACAGAAAACACCAATGTAAACTGTGGGAAGTGAAAAGAAGTGGTCTCGCACCTTTTTGAATCAAAGAAAAAGCTCAGTTTCACATCCTGTTACCCTGCAAGGGACGCATCTTTTTGCTTTTAGGGGAAGGAATAGCCAAATGAAGAAAGGGCTGAACCGGAGAGGAGCTTAGCTGGAGAGACAAGAGCAGAAGTTAGTGCCACAAGTGTGATCAGAGTTAACACCGCCGAGATCATTGGCTGGAGGGAAAGAGCATCTAATCTGGGGACTTCTCCAAAGATCCCCTTGTCCACCAGCCCCAGGGAGCAGGGGTGGGGCTTGACAACACCCCCTGTGCACCCTCCGGTCTGGGTGGAGAGGTCCTTCCTACTGCCAGCCAGTGGTTTGCCCATTGTAAGAGACGGCGGCTTGCCACCCCGGATGGATGCTACTCGTCTGTAACCTCACGGATTGTTCTTTCACTTTGATTTCCCTTCTCAGCTTTGTGTTTTTATCAAGTTAATGAGAATTTATGAAACAGAAAATTCAGCAAAATTCACAGGCATCCAGAGCAGGGCTCTTTAATCTTGGGACCACAGAACCTCACACGAGATTGGATAGGTTCCCCCGATTTTAAATGTAATGAAAGGTTCATGACTTCCTAAGGCCACCAAACTTGGTGGCAGAGGCGGGGCAAAAGCCCTCCGCTGCCTTCCCTGTCCAGACCCCTGTCCTTCCACTTCTTACTCTTGGATACTCTGGGTGTGCAGTTTCTGCTTCGATTTTCCTTTTACTTCCTATATAATTTAATTTTCTTTTAGAACTACGTTGTGAAATACGGAACAACCAGGTTGAAACCCAATGGCAAGTAACCGGGGCGGAGAGCGCACCTTCTCTGCACTTGGGCTATCGACTTTGAATCTTTTGTCCACCAGACAGTAGAATCTTCGTGAATCTCTGCAAATTGGCAGCTTAATTTTATATTTCCAGAGTGGTCAGGGAACATCTCGGCTTGGATCTTTCTCAGTAATACTGGAGCTGGAATCGAGAAATGCGTAGGTCAGTGTTCTTGTCATGGTTGCAAAGAGCTTTACAGTGGGCAAAAGACTTTCTTATTTTATCACACTGAATTCTCACAGCAATCCTAAGAGACAGGGGTGATCCTACCCTCCATTTATGGATGAGGAAGTTGAGTCTGAGGGGAGATATCAGTTGCTCAAACAGTTAGAAAGCGAAAAAGTTCTAATAGAAAACCCTCACTTTTTATTAAATTCTTTGAGGTCTGTAATGCACAAAGCAAAACAACTTGACTTTTATGGGAGGGACAGGGATGTAGTTACCTAGTCTGTAGGACCTGGGACAAAAAAGATGCTTTTGATCCAGGTCAAAAAAAAAAAATCAGTGCTGGGTATTAGGGAGTGGAACGAAATCTGGACTAGCCAAATAACGTGGTTAAGCCCCAAGTGTAAACAGCAACTCAACAGTAAGTTACTTTGAAGAATATTCATCCATCTTTCCCCCGATCACAACTGTCTTTGCTGGAGATATCCTAATGGATCTCAGTGAGGCCTGATAGTTTCATTAGCAAGCGAGAACTGTCTGCTTGAATGGAATAGGAGCAATAAAGGAACAATTCCCAGGGGCCAGGCTGAGTTTTTTGAATATTGCTTTTTAAAAATCAAGGATGGCAGCTTGGCTGACCAGACAAATAATTACCCAGGGAAGCCACTGGGTGGCAGCATAGACCAGAGGAGGATGGCTGACCCGGCCAAGTGGTTAGAATAATTCAAGTAATGAGGTTACTGGAAACGTGGCCTGGGTCCGTTCCAGAGCAAGTTTCATAGTCACACAGCTTTGGTAACAAGACGCTA